GTCTCAGATAAATAAATAAAATCTTTAAAAAAAAAAAATTTAATAGCTATAATCTATGTTTAAATCAAATTCTAAACATTTAAAAAGTCAACAATGCTAATATACAGAAAGACCATTACCCACCTTTAAAAGCATGGCTAACATGGTAAGTAAGGTGTCCACATAACCACACATTTTGCCTTGAGAAAACAGCAGAGTAGAACGATGAAGCAGTAACTTCAGTTCCTAAATAAATGAGCACATGATAATGAATGTGACAAGATTCCTTTCTGCAACTTGTTTTGTTTGCACAGAAAAGTTTTATTTTAGAAATCAAACCTTAACATTTGCTTTATGACCTTTCACAACTTAAGATCCAATATTTTAGATACTGTAATTTATAATGTCTAACAAGAGGCTGAAACTTAAGATTCAAAATCACTTTCAAAAAAGCTGAATTTAATACACTAAAATAAACTTTTTGGATATATGCTATAGACATCCTTAATGGAGGAAAATGTTCAAAAATATAATCTACCAAGAAAAACTTCCTGTTATGTGACAGAGTCTACCTGCTGTGCAGCATTTGCATCTTGTGCTAAAGTATCTGGATCATACATTGGTTCCAGAGCTTCCAGAGCTTTCTCAGGACGGCCCAGCTGCTGCTGAAGGGTGGAAAGTGAAATTCTTGCATCCAAATGAAGAGGGGCCAGATCAACCACTTTGCCATAGCTTTCCGCAGCACGTTCCATATAGCCTAAGGCCTTTAAACATTCTAAGATGATGTTAAAATAAAGCATAAATATGATCTACAGATTTGTAAGCTTACCAAGATTATTTTTCCATTTTAAAGAAACATTACAGCAACATAAAAAGAATTAAAACAAAAATGAAATGCGTATTTCTAGTACTTTAAAACAACTAACCCTTCTAGTCTCCATCTATTGACTGATCAATCTCGATTTCTCTAACTAAATCCAAATAGCTACAAGGATATAAACAACATATACATACACTTTGGGGTTCTGCTTTATTCACTTAGCATTAAGCTTTCAACACTTCCCACGTCTTCCTTACCACTTTGAATGGTTATAACATTCAACTGATTATTTATTTCACCATACTATATGACTGATATTTAGGTTATTTCCAAATTTTTACTCTAATAAATAACACGGCAGTAAACATTTTCATGTATATAAGTTTAAAAACTGGCAAACCAATTTAGCCCACAGACGTCTTTTTTAAGCCACAGTGTTGTTAAAAACAATACGTGGTCTACATTTTTTTAAATTAGGATTTTTATGAACTCCTAAGTTACTGGATTCTTTTGAAAAATGTGGATTTGAGAAACAGCAGCAGCATCCTTTAGAGAGGGTTCTCCAGTTTTTCCCCCTACCCTTGAACTTCTTCACTTGCCCAATTCACTCATTTTGCTACTTGCCAGGCTCCTAGCTTTTGTGATTCCCAATATGAACTACCTCCCCTCATCTCACTCAATTATTTCCTCAGGATAAGTTCTCAGAAGGGGGATTATTGGGCTCTATTGCTCAAATTTTATGTCAATTAATCATTAAGTCCCATCAGTTGAACTCTCCACTGTAATAGTGACAACACTAATCTAGGATTTTTTCATCTCATTCCTTTTTCACTGCAATTCCCTCCTAGAATGGTACTTTTGCCTCCAATTGCTTTCTTAAATCTCAAATTTCTCAACTCTCTGCTGAGTATCATCTTTAGGTTAAACTTTGATAACAGGCAATAAAAACTCCCAACTCCCTGCTTATGTCTTTAAAATTCAAATACCATAAATAATGTAAGTTTTTATGATGGTATCACATTTGTATTTATGTTCAGTCATCCAAACAGTAAAGAGTTATCATTAAATGTTTTTTTGCAATTTCATATCTGTGATATGTTGCAAAACAACCCAAATTGTCAATCAATGCTTCTCTAGTTATAGAGTACTTTCAACCATTATGTAATATTTTAAGAACTATTAGAACTATTCTGCCATCATGCAGTATTTTAGACACAGACTATTCAAATTTTAATGCATCTTTTATGTGGATTCAATATGAAATCCTACTAGAATATTTTTTGGCTTTCATACATTTAAGAAATTTAGTTGTTTTTCTTAAGCTATTTTTCTACTGTATTTCAGATTATTATAAATTTAGATACAATAAAATGAAATGATACACAAAACCCAATCTTGAGCATATCTGCAGCTCAAAGAACACTGAAAATACATTAACTTTTTTTTCTCAAAATAACATTAATATAAATTCATTAAAACTCTTTAAAATTAGACTGCACCCCAAGTCTGATTATCTATTACTAGAAATCAGAGCCTATGGTTAAGACAGGTAAAAGACATATACAAGGTATTTTTAACAAGGACATGTTAGTCCTACTTCATTCTGGTACCATTAAATGAATCATTCTTCCAAAGCATTAGTGTGGGGGAAATCATATAGTGGCATACCAAAACAATTTAAAATACTGACATTCGTCAGATTATTGAATCACTATGTTGTACATCTGAAACTAATGTAACTTGTCAACTATACTCAAAAAACAAGCAAACAAAAAAACCTGATTTTCAAAAACTGCCCTGAAACCAGAAACTTTCACTTTCACCAAGACATTAATATTTTAAAATAATTATTACCATCTTGAAAGTAAGTTCTTGCCTGCTTATATGATTAAAACTTCTCCCTCCCACAAAAAATTATTACCTGCATGCCGAAGCCAAACTACTGCAAGGTTGTATCTTTCAGAGCAGACTAGTGCACTAAGGAGGGGAAGTGCAGAATTATATTCACCAACATCCAGAAAAGCTTCAGCAACATCTAGATAGAGGTCTCCCATATCTTCAGGATTCTGTTCCACTAGTGTTGTCAAAAGAGGCTAGACCGCAAAAATAAAAGGCTGAAGTCACACATTCATTTCAAATATGCATATCTATGTATATTTCTCTTTTTACATATCTATCAGTTATCTGAGGCAAGCCTAAAAGCAAGGTTTAATGAAAACAGCTTTAAATAATCATTTTTCTATTAATTTCTGTATCTCTATTAAAAGGAACTCATACTGCCATCATTCACTCATTTAACACATTACTTTTGAAGCCTGTTATAAGCAGACATGGAGGAGCTAAGATAACACTGACCTGCTGTGCTTTTCCTCTGCCAAGTCAAACATACCCAAGCTTCAGGGCCTCTACGTTTGCTGATATTTCTGTCATTATTCAAATGTCACCTTTTCAGAGAGGCCTTTCCTGACCACCCTATTTAAAATTGCAACTCCTGG